TCGATCTCACGTTATGTTCTCTCACTTCCACCAACCAAATCCACTATTTCCAACATTGAATTAATTTTTAAAATTTCCAACTTTGTCTTGAGAGAAAAACGAAGTCCCGTTATGAACTTCTTAATTCTTAAAGTCTCCAACTGCAACATCTCACATCTATATCTAGATAACTCATTAAATTCTCACTTATTCTTTCACTGAGCGATGTCCTTGTTGGATGTGAATAAGTCACACTGTCACCCAACTGAGTAATACTTCTTTCAGAAGATATATCTCCCATCCTTTAGGATTGGACGTCCTCGTCCATGACCAGAGGAAACCCCTTTCATATTATGACAAAACTCTAGTAAAATTATTGTATTACCACCATCTGTAACGACCCAAAATCCGGTATTTCAGAAACCATTGAATCGTCACTTAGGTTTTAATAATAAAGATTCGGTTTATTCTTAATACCATACTATCATCTCAAAATCTGCAGCGGAAGTCTCAATAATGAAATTCTTGTTGGGGTTCCCTTCGGGTTCCTAGCATGCGATCTCATCGATCTAGGGTTTGGATTCTAGGTTTCACGCAGCGGAAGGAAAGATCTAAACCTAGCCAAACGTCACACAAAACCAATTGTGCAATAACCCGAACAATCGTGTATATCGTCGTGGGATTCGAATACTTACCTCGTTCTTTCAAGATCTGGAAGTATCAATCGATCCAGGGCCTGTTTTAATCACCGAGAGTTGAAAGCACAACTCCTCTACACGTATCCACACCGGCGGGATGAATTCCAACGCTTTGGAACGTATCTGCTAGGATTCGTGAAGAGAAAAACCGATGTCCTTGACTTGGAATCGATATTCCAATCACTAGAACTCAAAATCAAGCTTCTCTAAGCTCTCTTCTGAATCTGGGACGTATGAGGTTCATACTCTAGGGTTTGTGGCGGCTCACTCTTTAATTAGAATTGCCCAAAACCCTTAAAACGCGAAAACCGAAAACTGCCCGTAAGTCGGACCGTCCGTTCCAGGCCTGGAACGGACGTTTTGATTCTACGCAGAACGGACGGTCCGTTTTATAACGTAGAACGGACGTTCTTGACGCCTGGACCGTCCGTTCCAGACCTGGAACGGACGGTCTGGCATTTGCGGAACGGTTCGTCCGTTCCTCAGCGGAACGAACGTTCCGGAACGGCTGGACCGTCCGGTCCAGCCATCTGGAACTCTTCCAGATCGCTCCGTCGCTCTTTTCTCGCATTGTTCTCTTCACGTGTGATCCATCCCTAATGGTGTGTGACCCTGTAGGCCCACTCGAAGTGGCAGTGGCTTCGGAAACATTTCCCGAACCACAAGTCATGGTTAGCCTCTAACAAGACGCCATGAC